TTGAAAAGAGAGTTGAGGCGAGGTACCCACGTGCGTGACTCCACACCTCACCCGCTCACTCACAGCCAAGCCATACAGCCCAAACGTAGTGCGATGCAGCGCTGTGGCTTTCCCGATGTGATTGCCAGGGAGTGACGAATACGTCACCAAACACAAACCGTCTTGGCCTAGAAGGAAAAAGTAACACAAGAGGTGGCGTTGGATAGTGCTACGTCCCCCACCCTCACCCTCCCTCACCTACCACTCCGCACAAGTCATGTTTAGACAAGCTCATGTTTAGATCAAGCGCTGCGAGGTGAGAGAGAGGCACGAGGAAGCCCAAACCAAACCCTTGCACCCGGCTATGGATAGGGTGGGATCGACTTCAAAGACGATTGATTTAAACAATGTAATCTCGTTCGTTGATTTATTTCGTTCGCGATTTATCGATCATGATTTCTTCACATGTAAAAAGTAATCATCATTGCTGTCCGTTTCTGGTGATGCTCATCCCTGTGGAGCTCATAACCATGGAGCTGCGGCAGATGCCTAGCGGTTCTTTGTCCTGGGGAAAAGCAAAGCAGGCGACCCAACGATGCTCCCGGCACACAGGTGTAGGCAAACATTTACTCTGCCCACCCCCTTTGCAGTGTATGTTGGTACAACGCCGTGAGGCCCAGCGCGGAGGGCGAGCGAAGCGGGCCGGAGGGCTGGAGGGTGGCCCAGGCGGGCCCAGGCCCACCGCTGGGGTAGAGGCGGTGGGGGGTGGCGCGGGGTAGAGGCGTGGCCAGCCCCGTGTAAGGTCCCCTGCACGTCACCAAGGGGCTCACCCGAAGGGGGACCTTGTTCCTTATTTTACCCTGCAAAGGCGCCGGTGTTCCACGAAACTCGTAACGTGTACGCTCGCCCCTCCTAGGTCTCTGACCGAAGCTCGATGTTGTTCTACGAAACATCACGAAACAGATACGAATGACGTACCTACATACAAGTACCGGTTTTGATAAGGAACCGTTATTGGGACAGGCACGCTGTTAGTCATTTCATGTGACGTCACATTCCTTTACCAGCAAAAACTGTCACATATTTTTGTTTGTAAACAGTCACATTAAATTTCATCTGACGTTGGAATT